GTGGTTCTTCCAACGCAATAAGGGCCACCAACTTTCCAGCTTCCAGCCTCAGCTCCCTGGCCCTAGCCACCTGCCCTCTCAGCCGGGGCTACCTTTCACTTTGTATTAGACAGCGTTACCTAGAAGGCCCCAATTCCTGCTGTAGTGGGCAAATGTTAGCAGCAGTGTAAAACCCAAACTATCAAAAGCATTATCACAACATAAGTTTATTTCTTGCTCAGTTAAAGTCAAATTGGCAGTAAAGTCCAAAAGGAAGGACATTGTTCCATATGGTTATTTAGAAACTCAAGTTGGTAGAAATTCTGCCACATTTACTAAAGGATTACCAAGATGTTCCTCAACATCTACAGCCAACAGGCAGGGGTGTGAGAGAAGAGCAGAGAATTCTCAGGGGCTCATTTGGGCCAGGTATGGGGAGATAGACATTGGTTCTTCTTGTTTCCATTGAGCAAAATTTCATCACATGACTACTCCTTGCCTAAAGGAAACCTGGGAACTGTAGTCCAGCTCTGTACCCAGAAGGAAAGGGCTCTGGTAGACAGCTCATCAGATTCTGCAAGTATCTCAGGCCTGTCAGGGTCCTAGATTCTCCTGAGCTACAGAGCAGAGGTACAGAAACTGCAGAGTTATCTGACACTGCCTCACACGTGGCTAAGACTGTCAGTTGGCACCAGGCTAAAAACTTCCCAAGAAAAGAACTCAAGATGTGCTCATCTTGAATTTTCACATATATGCAGCTGTATCCAGCTGTTGGGAGAGAGAGGCAGCATCTTATGACAGGATACAGGTGATGGGTGATAGGTTCCCTGGGGGCATGAAGGTCAAAGGGATCTGTATGTTCTGGGTCACCTGGAACCTTCCAACCAGGCTACTGCAGCCCCTGTAGGCAACTGATGATGACAAGACAGTATGTGATGTGACACACCAATGAGGTCAAATCCCAGGGGACTGAAGTGACTCTGCTACAAGCCCCATAGCAACAAGAAGAGAACAACAACCAGGAAAGAGGTCATGTCCTCAGTCCCTGGCAGAAGGACTTTGAGGGCAGATCATTCAGAGAAAAGCAGATGCTAAATAATCCACAGCCCAGGGTCATCACTGAGGCTGAACAAGTGGGTGGAAGGATAGCACCTAAGGGACAATGCCAGTGGAAGGAACTCAGAGGGTGGCTCACGGCCAGGGACAATCAAGAGCACACTGAGACACTGCTTGAGTCTACCAGAAAGATTAGAAAGTAAAAAAAAAAAAAAAACAAAAAAACAAAAACCCAAACTCCTCAGAAGGAAATGACCAGTCCTGCAGCTACAGCAGAGGTGGCCAAATGTACTAAAAACATTTACCTGATGAGTTCTGGGGGCATTCAGATTACACTGTAAATACAAAGGTCATTACTGATCAAAAATGAATTTTAAGCTTCAAAAAAACTTCAGGAGTCAGGAAAAACCATAAAATATGTTTAATTTTTTAAGCCAACCTGAGATCTGTAAGGTTTCCAACACACAAGCATGCTGGGTATAAAATCTCAGTTTACAGCTTCCTTGTTTTTAAGCGAACCACCTGTGCTTACCATGGGGCCACAGGTGGAATGGCAGGAATGATTTCTGCCTCCACTGAAAGCCTCCAGGAACCAATCATTCCAGGCTCGGTGCTCATCCCATATGAAGAATGGGCTCCCGGTCACCCTGTAGGGGGCCTGAAGACTTGGGAAAGTAAAGAGCCAGCCCATGTGGAGACATGGTTTCCGGGATGGCCCCACGAGGGGTGCACCTGGCACTGCAGCAGCCTCAGTCACTGAGCTCCCTAAGCTCAGATTTAATAAGCCCACCACCTCCAGGTTTCCTAAGCCATTAATGCTCGTTGACAGCTGCATTTTACTTCCTTTCTCTCCAGCACAGTACCAAGGCCTGAGTAGAAATAATCCTTTTATCTACCAATAAAAGAGAATTAAGGGTGTTTTGTAGCTCAGCCCTCTTTGAAGAGCCATCTTTAGAAGCCGGAGGCTTTGCATTTCCTGGAGTGGTCAGATTAAAGATGCTTTTCACTAAACTCATTGGGAGATCAGAGGCCAGGTGGTTGATTATATTGTCACCAAGTTGCCCTGTGGAAGGTATTTCCAGTTTCCATTTTAAACAGATTTTTAAGCACAAATGTCATTCTCAAAAACTTTTCTGAAAGACTGAGTAATTCTCCAAAGCCACACTGTTTAGAAACCAGCTGTTACCTAGCACCAGCAAGTGAGGCCACATTGAAAGGGTATAATTTGATCTGCTGTCATCTTCTTGCCCCCCATCGGTATAATCCCACCCTCATAGTTTTCTGCTATATCCTGATAACAACACAGTAAAGAGAAGACCTAAGGTAAAAGTTTTCTCCATAAAGAGCTCAGATTCCTACCGAAATACTGTGAAAATTGCATTCATCTCAGTTGACAAGGTAACTGATATCCCAGTATAGAGTTTGGCTCCTTAAATGTATTATCATATGTAAACTTAAAGTAATTCTGTGTGTTTGAGGTTTTACGCCTCAGCTTCTAGATGGGCTGAGGCTGGGAACACTGGGCCATTTGCCTGAGCACTCGTGGATAGAGCTGGAAGGTGTAGTCAGGGCTGACCCTGAAGCCTGGTCATTCCTAAAATTCAATCCTGGAAATCAGGTTTCTTACCTTTGACACTTTCAGCAATTTGGACTTTATAAGTATCGCAGGAGGGGTGTCCTGGGCATTGATAGAGCAGCATCTGTGACCTCTCTACACTAGATGAGTAGGAACTCCACATTGTGACAACCAAAAATCACATCCAGGTAAGGTCAAAGCCCTCTGGAAAGCGCAATTGCCCCCAGCTGAGAACTATTCCCATAGGTGTTTTTCCAGAATTTACTCTCTTACAATACCGAGGTTCTGTGGTTCTGGGAAATACAAAGAATAATTTAAAGCCTGTAATACTGTCTCAGGGTGACCTTACAATGTATACCTTAGGACATAAGAATCAACTGTTTATTAGGATTTTCGTTCTTTTCACCTAAAAATTCCTCCATTTCTGTTGTTACTGGTAATAGGCTGTCCCCTTCAGTGAGGAAATGTTCACACTGCAGAGTCCCCAGAGGCTCCCATGGCTTGCTGCAGCTGCCCCACAAGTCCAGACCAGGCTCTGTAAAGACACACAGGTCTTCCCCGGTGTGTCATAACACCGCACTACACTGTCACGCCCCACGTGCTGGTAGGATGAAGCCAAACACAGTGACTCCACATGGTTGGAATGCATCCTCCACGGTTTTTCTCTCATTTCTTGGCAGTGGCGTTCCCTCTGCCTTCCTCAGTCATATGCCCGCACCTCAGTTTTTGCCTTTGAAATCCTCTCCTGTCATTACCAGTTTACCTGGTGCTCTGCATCCCCTGGGCAGCCTTCTGGGCAGAGTTGTGGGGGTGCCACATCGTCTCCTCTGCTGGTGACTGGTCAGCATCTATGAGTCTCGCCCTCCACGTGGACAGTGTGTGATCTTCCTGCGGAGCTGGCAGCTCCTAGACAATGAGAACTCTAGCTTTCTGTTCATTCCATACATTGTGCATATACACTGTGTTGGTTGGGTAAGGCTGGGTTGGCTTAGAGATGGGACTGAATGAATAGGACAAAGGTAAATTTGGATCCATTTCTATGGAGATTACAAAAAGCTTCAAACGTGAAACCCAAACAACCCAACAGAGCACTGTGTTTAGCTGCTCTTCCTTGCCTGATGTAGGTAGGCACTGGGACAGGCCCACTGAGGTCAATTCAATGGCCCCCAGTTGTGTGAGGTGAGGGGACAGATGTCATCTTGTCCATGTTTTGTGCTCTGGGGCAGACCTGTGGCCATCTAGAGGTGTCACATGAGCTACCAGAGTAAAGACTTCCTCACAGACAAACAGTCCCGCGGCCAAAGCTTCACCCAAATTTGCCATCTCAACACTCCTTTCATTAATTTCTGTCTCACTGAGTCAACCTTAGTTTCACCAATACTTCTTCAGTGTGACACTGTGTTTACTGATTCTGCCAGCGAGTATTTATTAATCATCTGATTGATATAGGTCATGAGAGTGGCTAAATCAAATCCCTGTCCTCATCTAGCTTATATTTCAGTGGATTTTTACATTCTCCTCTCAAATGTTTTACCATCAGATGACAATCCACTGACAACTGAAGTCTTATCCAGGCTCAGATGTGGGGCAGTTTTTGATATCCCTGGTTTGGTTAGGAGCAGAGTTTCTGTGTTAGATGAAACAGTTGGTCAAGGGCCAACCAGTCTAGGAAAGTGACTTTTCCACCCCACAGGCATATCAGTCTAAATTGGGGTTTATGCCCTCCCAGGGGAAGGCTTTCAGCTCTGGGGTCATGTCGTCTAATTCCACTTACAGCTATGTCTCCAGGAAGAGTCTAGCTGTACTGGGTAAACTTCATTGTATCAACCTGATTGCACTGGGGGCCACCTAGGACATCAGTAAAGCACACTCCTGAGTGTGTCCGGGTAGGTAATGTAAACATGGCCCACAGGGCAGTGTATAACCCCTGGGTCTCTCTACTCTGCTGCTTTTCCCCTGCGATGCTCCTGCCCACTGTGAGGTAAGCAGCCTCCCTCTACCAGGCCCTTTCACCATGATGCTTTTGCATTGGAGCAACCCAAACATAGACAGAACCCTCTGAAACCATGAGCCAAATAAACCTCTCTTCCCTTAAGGTGTGAGTGACAGGTATTGTGTCCCCAACAATGAAAAGCTGACTAATCCTCTAGCCATCCCACAGGATCTGCATTTTGTACTAAATCCACTAGATGAGCAATTTCCAGCAACCAGCCCTGAGCCATGTTTGCTCTGAAAATGTCCAGGAAGGGTGTAGGCATGCAGGGTTTACATTGTTCTGCCCACACGAAAGCTGCAAGTCTATCAGTCAGTATTTCTGTTGGCAGAAACCGAAAGTGTCCCCTCCTAAACATTTCATTCTATAGCCTCTCCTCCTCGGTTTTATCTACAGATGGGAAACTGTGCACCAGCTACAACCGGGGGTTCATCTCAAAGGCAAAAGTCAAGGCCATCAAGTACAGCATCATCATTGTCCTTGGTAAGCAATATCCTTCCTTATGCTGAAGAACTGTATGAGCCTTCCAAAAGCAAACTGCTGGTGAGGCCCCACAAGAGAGGACCCAAGCGCTTTGTTCTTTCTCTGCTTGGGAAGGGATGTGTGAGACTCACTGCCCCTCTGTAGCTTCTCCAAGGGCTGACATTTGGTTTCTATGGCCCCCTCCCTTATGAATATAACTCTCCTTCAGGGCATGAATTGCATAATTTGGGGAAAATCAGATGAGGGCCAAAGTAGCGAAAGCTGGGGATCACCCTGCCATTCCAGTTGCCTCCTTGAAGACACTCTCTCTGCAGATCTGAGGTTCACGAACAGAGGAACAATAGGAGTGTGTCCCACTTGTCCTGGTCACTCCTAGTCCTTCTCTATGGCCCCTTTCCACCCTCCTCCTTCCTGTCTTCTGTCCCTTCCTCTTCCTTTCTCTCTGCTCTTAGCACCCACAAAAGTCACCTCATGTTGTTCCCAATGGAGATGTTCTCCTTGAAGATGAATGCATACATTGTTTTATTCCCTGACAATGACATCTTTGTCAGACATCCTTGACAATGACAAGTGCTCTTATATCATCTCTTCCAGTCTTACCTGGCTCTGTTTTTCTTCATTGTTCCTATTTCTACCTTTCTGTTATCTGTCTATCATCCATCTATCTTCTGCCACTTTGTCCTCCATATCTAGCTATCATCTATCTGGACATCATCAATCTATACATCATCTATCTTTTTATTATGATGCATACATTCCCTCCTATTATATATCTCCCTTGCTGGAGCAGTAAATCCATGAGAACAAGGCTTGCTTTTGTTTTACTTACATATTATCTTTGAGGCCTGAATGAGGGTCCCATAAACCAATGAATGAGGAGCTGCAAGAAGGGGAAGGACCTCTCCTTCCTTCTCTCTATTTAGCTGAAATGCCCTCTCTTTGCACCTCTGAAAGCTCTTAGAAACCCCAAGAAAATATTAGCTTCATGTCAAATTGTCAGAACACCCTGCCTCCCCTTTCCAAAACACAGGTGCAAAATGCCAAACAAACCACACACAGTGCGGCGTGACACAGCCTCAGAGTCCATGTGCAGATCATGGCACAGGCAGAGCAGAACAGAGCAGGTACGACTCACCAGAGCTCTGAGAAATGGTTCTCAGAGGCTGTGAGGCAGGTCAAAGACTCCCCTGCCTTCCCAGTCAGAACTGCAGATTCACACCCCCGGGTGTGGAGTGGAGAAGAGTGTGTGCTTACATGTGCATTCTTTCATAAGCGTGATCCATATCCCCAAGCCCCGTTATATCCTTCAGTCTGCAGCAGGGATGCCCACCAGGGATGCCACACATTCTCAGCAAGTGTGGCAAGACCAACATGACCCTTTCTAGGATAAATATCTTGCAACAGACTTTTACCATCTTCAAGTGATGAGTGTATGTGATACCTCCCTGCCATTTTAAAAAATAAATGTACTGTCCCAACAATAGTCTAAAAACCAGAAAGAAAATCATATATTATATAACAATACCAATTTTTGGTGTGCTACTCTATAGGGACTGCTGCACTAGAAAAATAATAAATTAATTGGAGTTTTACACCTAGACATAGTAACAGCTATAAACAGAAGCCAACACAGGTGCATTTTCATGGAGATATTAAAAATGTAAGCAGTCTCATTGTCGGCAACTTGATTTTCTAAGCAGGTAAGCGAAGCCTGGGAAAGCTCCAAACTAAACAAAGTAGTCTTTCTTCTGTTTACAAGGGAATTGCACTCCTGAAAAATTTAGTATTTCTGAAAGTAGCTGCATACATATGTAAAAGAGAGTTAGGTTTCTAGACTGGAGAAATTATAAACAGAGTTCTCTCATGCATGAATATCCAGCTGGGCATTGAATAATGCCTGGTATGTGGCTAAGCTTTTGCTGGCTGGGGTGGCAGAGCCTGAAGCATGCAGGAGAGCTAGCATCCCTGCAGTTACACACACACACACACACACACACACACACACACACACACACATACACATACACACACAGACACGACCACATGACCGCAGAAAACATTTTTATACTTGAAGCCCAAGACTACTCTTCTTTGCATAGTGATGAGGTTCATTACTCAGGATCCAGAATGACCTCCAGTCTTTCTGTCTGAATGACTTCCATCTTATAATACATTGCCACCATCTGGGGCCAAAATGTCATGAATTAATTCCTCATTCCAAAGTTCCCAGAAAGCTACAGCTCCTCTCAAACCATTATAGGGAAAGCTTGCCTCATGGCCACAAAAGTCAAATTTTTCCTACTTTGAGAAAAATTCTGTCAGTATGGGGTGGTAAGAGTGGTGAAGATGTATCAGAGAGCCAGGAAGAGAGAGAGAGACAGAGAGAGAGAGAGAGAGAGAGAGAGAGAGAGAGAGAGAGAGAGAGAGAGACAGAGACAGAGACAGACAGAGAGAGATACAGAGAGAGACAGAGAGAGAGAGACAGAGAGAGAGAGAGAGAGAGACAGAGACAGAGACAGAGACAGAGACAGAGACAGAGTTCAGCCCAAAAGCATGTGGCCTTGTATCAATCTATGCTCTCCAGGGAAACAGGAGAAGATAGATAAATAGATAGATAGATAGATAGATAGATAGATAGATAGATAGGTAGGTAGGTAGATAGATAGATAGATGACAATAGAAGGATTATGAACAGATAAATGGATGAATAGATAAAATATAAATAAATAGATAATTGAGGAATGCATAGATGAATAGGTAAACGATAGATGGGTAGCTGAATAGATAGATAATGGATGGATGAATTCATGCATAAACAGATGATAGATGATGGATGGGGTGGATGGATGGATGGGCACATAGGTTAGGTAGACTGACAGATGATAGATGAATGATGGATGGATGAATAGACTATATGGATGGATGGATAAATAGATGATTGATAATAAATGGGTGGATGGATGAATAGATAGATGAAGATGCAAGGATGGGTGATAGATAAACAAATAGATTCTGATTTATTATGAGAAATTGACTCTTCTTATTATGAAGGCCAAGAGATCTCAAGCTCTCCACTTCGCACACTGAAGACCCGGACAGATAATGTCCTAGTCCAGGTCAGAGTTAAAAGGCCTAAAAACAGAAGACTTGGTGCAGGTTCCAGTCTGACTCCAAGCATGAGGGCAGAGAACAGTAAAGGCCCAGCTGAAAGACAGGCGGAGAAAGTCAGTCTTCCCTACACAGGCCTCCAACAGATTGGATGATAAGATCAATCGCTTTTCTTAGTCTGCTGAATCAAACATTAATCTTATCCAGAAACAACTTTGTTTACCCAAATACCTGGGGCCCGGTCAAGTTGTATACGAAATTAATCTTCAGACTCTGAACTCCCACATCCGAGCCATTTCCTTTGAGGTGTAAGCGCCAAACAGAATCAAGGGATTCACATACATCAAGTAACCTGGGCAGGGATATTTGATGGGGATTTTCTGGAGAGGTTAACTAGACATGGAAAAGGGAAATTGAGACTATTGTGATTAAACAGGGCTGTGCTCCAAACATATTAGGATCAGCCATCACCGTGCTAGTCCCTAATACCAGGAGCAGAGTCTGGTCAGGGATTTTTGCTGAGTTTTCTGCAGCACTGTGTTGGTCGTGGGTTCCTGGTCTTTTGACACCCAGTCTCCAGCAGTAGAAATTGGATGTCTCCCTCGCCCCCCTCATTTATAGATCCAGAAGGTCTAGGAACACTAGTTGGCTTGGAAATGTCATCTTCAGAGTGTGTGCATAGACACGAGGATATGTCTCAGCAAACACAGCACCAATGCTAACACACAGCTGCTCTAGCAGTGTTGCCAGCCCTGATGTTTCTGTGACACAACAGGTACCAGGGAACACTCAGTTGAAATTCCATGGCTGGCCAAGCCCCTGGGCTGTGGTCTCTGTGGTGCTAATGGGTCTCTTCTCCCCAGCTTTCACCATCTGCTGGAGCCCATACTTCCTGTTTGACATTTTGGACAACTTTAACCTCCTTCCAGACACCAAGGAGCGCTTCTACGCTTCTGTGATCATTCAGAACCTACCAGCCCTGAACAGTGCCATCAACCCCCTCATCTACTGCATCTTCAACGGCGCCATCTGCTTCCCCTGCAGGTACAGAGTCCCTTCCCTGCATTAGACACTGTTTGTCACCGCACTCAGAGTCCGGTGAGTGTGCTCGTCACTCAAGCTGCCCAGCAGGACACGGCATCCCTATTTTACAGCTGAGACTATAGAGTGTCAGAAAGGTCCCACTCGTGTGACAAACTAGAACTCAGGGCTGGGCCACAGCCATTTCTCTCTCCCAAAAAACATCACATTCTGTAGCATCGTCTTAATCATGACACATGCAGAAGACCTTTATGGTACTCAAAGCTTCTACACATGAGCCGTTTCGATACACTTCTATCATAGTAACTCATGCTGGAGGACTTTTAACCACCTTCCAGATTAAATAAGTCATGAGGCTTGCAAGATTCAGTGACGTCATTGAGGAGACATGAATAACTAGGGGCAGAGCTGAAATTAAATCCCTCCCACTGCTCCTGCCCCTGTGATTCTTTCTTGCCCATGCAGTGGGGAGTAAGTGGAGAAACCCTCAGGAGACAGAATAGCAGAACAGTCTAAGGCTAAAGTTCCAATCCTGCCACTGCTTGATCAGGGCTGTATATGACCATGGGGAGTTTATTTCACTCTTTATGTAAATGAGGCTGATAGCAGGGTCCACATCTCTGCTAGTTAAGCCCCTGTTTTCTGTGCTCTGCTCCAGGAAGGAAGGTAGTAAGTGGTGGAGGAGGAAGGTTCTGTGGGAAATGTTACCAGCTGTCTGATGTTTAATAGGTTCCCCATAAGTGCTGCCAATCAACGTCTCTCCTTCCCTTTGCATCTGATCAAATTACTTCCCCTCACTGTCTCATTCTGGTTTTCTTCAGGGAACAAAAATCACAGGTATCCAGAATGACCTGCCGAGAGAGAAGCGAGAGGCATGAGCTGCAGTTTTTGTCCAAGCCAGAATTCATCTAGCCTGGGATGGGCTGAGGCAAACCTGGGTTAGCTTCCCAGGGACCCCACTAGGTCCTGCATGTGCATGGAGCACTGGCCATTGTGTCACCAGCATGGCAAGCATTGCCCAGCACACACTCACCAATCTTCATGCAGCCCAGGAAAACACCTGTCCTTTCGTCCCTGTTTCCAAGCCTCCTCCCACTGGTCAGCACCTGAGCCTAGAGGACTGAGCACACCAGCTCAGAGTCCTGGCTGAGGTGAGCCAAGGGAGTTGATAGGCAGAAGGGACAAAGAAAGCAGACTGTCTGTCTGTGAGTCTCTTAATTATAACAAAAGAAGAAAATAAAATATTCAGTCAAGATTGGACTTCTCCTTGCCAGCTTCAGATTGGAAATCAGACAGGTGCAGCTAAGACGATGTTTGTGCTCTGTGGTCCTTTTGCAAATGCATGTGTGGGCTGCAGCAAAGCTCCCAGTCTCATCGTGTCAACAGTGCTTTGTAAGAAGTGCACAGTTGTGGGCAAGGTCACAGTGCAGGGACCTTCCTCCAGTAGCTAAGCAACGTGGTAAAAAGTCACAGGCCCCACAGAGCCAGGATCAGGAACTCACACACCTTTGAGGCTCCCTGAAAGTTCCACCCTCTACAGCCCACGTCTGGGTCACTGAGCCCCAATCCTGTCCTCTTCTATGGATGCTTTGCCAGGCTCAGTGCATTTGTAAGCTTTTTATCATTTTTGCAGTGGTGATCTACCCAACACCTCCACCGGCAAGTGCTACAGGCTTACTTTGACAGATCTGGAGCTTGGTACTTACCAGCATAATCCACGTGAAATATGACTAAATGTTTTCTTGACAATTTTTCCCTTCAGATTTTTCCATAAGTGGAAATGGAATAATTTAATTTGATTATGTATACATCTCCACCCACTGCTCTAGGATACTTGTGAGCACCTTATTTTTAGCTTCACATACATCCTTGACATTAAAATCTCCTTGGCAAAAATCCTCCTTTCCAGAGTTTAAATCTCTCTCTTTTTTTTTTTTTTTTTTTTTGGCTGAGTGCTAGTGGAGTCATTAAAATGTTCAATGTATTTTAATAGCACGCCATTCCTCATCGCAGCATCAACCCAAAGACTGCAAGTTTAAGGTCATTGTGGCAACTTTTCCATAAATTCTCTATTCAATTCTATCTGACCTTAGGGAAAGTATCTCTTTAGGCAGAAGTCAGACTCCCCAGTCACCATCTTGCTGAAAATTAGCCTCTGCAGTTGACGTACCTGAATATTCTAGTTTTCCATATCTACAAAACAGTTGTGAGGATTGCTTTCCTCTCCATCTAATCAGCTAGGTTTGAGGAACCCTGGAAGCCCTTTGAGTAGCTCCGAAGTGCTTTTCAGCACTTCCCTTTAAATCAAAAGGTGCCACAGAAGGCCCACAAAATTGGAGTTAAAATTGCTGCCTGCACATAAGCTGATTAGCAGTGTGGAATCCTAGTGGGTGTCCTGGGCAGCAAACAGAACCCAGACCCTTTTGACAGGTGCGTTCCATCTCTGTCAAGTTCCCTTGTCAGAAGACAGCTCCTGTCATCATCCTTCAGGATGACACTTCTCTCAATTAAGGGGAGAGTGGGGAGGCAAGGGGCCCTATGCTCTTCACAAACTGTGGATGTGATTTTTTTAGCTCTTGTGATGTCTCTCTCCACCCTCAAAACACTGGAGACCAATAAAGTAATTGGACAATTGCTTCAGGATAAACTACCACTAACCTGAAATGCACTTTATGTTGGTGTGTGTTCTTGAAGCTTTATTTCTGTGTATTTATGAACTTGGGAGTGATGATTTAAACATTAGAACACTTGAAATCATTAAATGACCTTGCATGAAACGTTTCATAGATCTGAACATCGATTGTCTCATCTGTACGACGAATGGGGTCAAAATAAGAATGGGGCGGAAGAACTTGGGAGTTCTTATAGATAAAACCCCTGAGATTGAGAGGGAATTTCTGGGATTCTTTCCCCAGGAGGCCAGTGACCCAATTACTCAATGCTAAGTCCTTTGTCCTTTAACGATTTCACTTCCTGACCCATCATCTGAACCCAGTGAAATGTTATTTACCAACTAGGAAACAATGGGACTCGTGGATAAAATAAGAGGCTTAGCACTGCGATGTCACTATATGTAGCATCTCATGTCAGGTAGAACCAGGGAAGCCAGCAGGGTGGTATATAAAATAAAACCTCTGTTTCTTGTAATGGTTGATGCACTGTGGCAACCTGAGAAGTTTAGAAGCTTAACTAAGTAACTCAAAACAGGGGGCCAGAGTCCTCACTTTGTAACTATGGTGAGCCTGCCCAAGAGAAGGGCAGAGAGCTGAGGTGAGTGCTACACCCGCCCCAGGGCGGGCAGCCTGCATACAGTACCAGGGAGGAAAAGAGTCTTGCGCCTCACCTCCCTTTGTGGCTCTTCTTACTTTACTGTCTTCAACTGCTGTGAACTGTCGCCCCTCTGCCATGTGTCACCCACCTCGGGACCAGTAATTACAGAATGAAACCTCTACACACTGTGAGTCAAATCAACCTTTCCTTCTTTAGCTTTGGGAGTTGGATATTTTGTCTCAGCAATGAGAGAAGAGTAACAGACATTTCCCACCCCAAGATGTCAAAGAAGTCCATGGTTCTATTATTGCATGGCTTCAGAGACAGGTAAACATTAGGATAATGACAGTAGATGTGCTGAATATATTCAGCCACACTACGGAAAATAAATCTCTCCACTTTACTGAACTAAATTAAATATGAATGGTAAAAGATTCTCTGCTATCAGGGCATATGTGCAGCATAACTTAATTGAAGCTTAATTTCACCAAGCAACATCTTCCATTTTCCCCCAGAAAATGGTAATAACTTTTAAATGACTTTCATTTGGGATTAATCATGAGAACAAAGTGTCTCTGTCAAACCAGACCAACTTGAAGCTTCAACTTTCTTCCTGTCTCTTCTAGACAACTTTACACTTACACAGAAAGGACCTTGCCTTTTCCCTCTGCAGTAACAGAATTGACCAAGAAAGACCACATGCCTAGGTCTGCTGGGGACACAGAAAAACAAAAAAAAATTAGCAGGAAAGAAAGTGATGCTGCTCTTCTGGAATTGTCTCAGGCTTGCTACAGATCTTCTAGAAACTTTGTTTTGGCCTTTTAATCCTCATTTGAATACAGCTCTTCTTATGCACAGCCTGTTAGGATTTGCTACAGCTTTTCCACTGCATTTGAATGAAAGGACATGTCCCTTACTATTCAGTTGCCTGCCTCCTAGCATTACAAGAAACAGCACAATGAGGGGAAGTTGCCTTCCCATTTTGGGGGAAGCATGAGAGACTTATGCCTCATTGCTCTACAACTGCCTTTTAAGGACGCACTGGCTACATCAGCGCTAGCCCATTCCACCCTTATAGAGCACTAAAGTGGATGGGGTCTTGGATCACCTACAAGGATCTCAGGCTGCTCAGAGATTCCCACAAAGTTCCTTGAAAGTGTCTCAAAGTTCCTACCCACAACTGACTATAAACCTAGAAGTTATTAAATGTAGTTAAGCTTTTGCAGGGTGCTGATTATCTTCATGAAAGTAAAATATAGATTAAGATTAGGCATTGATACACCAAGAATCCATGTTATGACTTCAGGGGCCAGTCTCTGATAAACCATGGTTCTACTCTGTAGTTCCATGAAATCAACTTTATAGATTCCACACATGAGTGAGATAATGAAGCACTGTCTTCCTGTGCCTGGTTGATCTTGTTTAATATAATGTCCACTAGCTCATCCATGTCACTGCAAATAACAAGATTCCATCTGTCCTCACCACTGACTGTACCTTGCCATGATACACATGACAGATGGACATAGCAGTGATTCCACATTTCACATGTTATGGTTTGTGTCTATATGTCCCTCTAAAGGCTCATATGCTCACAGGATTTTTTCAGAAGTAGCTGAATCTAGATTGTGTGATTGATTCCTACACTGGGATTAAGGGTACTGGGATTAAGGATGGGTAATTGTGGGATCCGTCCACTGATTGGATTGGCGCAGCCCTAATCCTGATAGACTAGATACAATGTAAAGGACAGAAAGAGATTTGTCTCTATCTCTTGTTGCTTTGCTGCAGTCTGCCCACTATGAACAATTCTCTTCTGCCACACCACTCTGCATCCTGCCTTAGAACCAACCAATCATGGATTGAAACTTCTACAAACTGAGTTGAATAAATTTTCCCATCTTTAACTTTGGGTGTTGATGTTTTGTCTCAGCAATAAGAAAATTAACTAAGACATTGCTATTGTGAACATTCCTGGGATTGCAGGTTATACCCCAGAATGCTGTGCAATTATTATATATCCATCAAAACATTTCCAAAAAGCCACTCAAACAATCCAAAAAAAGACAAAAAGAGAGAGAAGCAGGAGAATAGAACACTTGAAAATACATAGAATAGTAGACTTTTATCCAAATAGCTCAGTAAGTATGACAAATGCAAAAAGATTAATTAATAATCTCAGATTGCCAAATCAAATTTGTTTTTAAAGAAACAACTAGCTATTGTTTACAAATGATATGCCTAAAATGTAAGCGTACAGAAAGTTTGAAAATAAAAGATGGACCAAACTAGTTCATAGAAACAGTTAATAAAAGAAAGCTGATAAGGTTATATCAATAAAAACTAAAGTTGAAGTATAAAGTGTCAGAGAGTTAAACTGGAACATTTCACTACTGTTTTCATTTAATAAGACAAAACAATTCTAAATTTCTATGCATTTGAAAACACAGTCTCAAAACATATGATTTTTTAAAATTGTCAGAAATGTAAAAAAAAAATGGAATAAATAGAAAAATCTATGACCACAGTAGAGAATTTGATCACACTTAATTCAGTAACTAAAACACACAAAATTAGGGATGGCTTGGATAATTTGACCATAGATAACACAGGAAGAGAGCTCATCCTACTACCCAGGAATAGATTTTTTTGAAGCATTCATGAAGCTTTAACAACAGTTTACCATATGTCTGCCCATAAAAGAAGCTTCAAATCTGTCGCAAGTTTAAATTTATACAGTCAGGCCTTTCTGATCACAATGCAATTATGCCACAACTCCAAAGCAGAAAGAACATTAAAAAATTCCCAGAGGTTTAGAAAGTAAGAAATACATTTTCAAATAACTTTCTCAACGAAGAAAGCACATGAATATTAATAATAGAAAATAATTTTACTGGAAGTTAATGAAAAGATTATAGTATCAAAATGTGTGTGTAACAGATAAAACAATACTGAAGGGAGAAGAAGAGAGATTAAAAATCAGTGAATGAATCATCTTTCTGAGGAAGTTAGAAAAATAAACACAAGGGAAGTAGAGGAAGAGAATAGTGAGAGTAAAATTAATGCAATAAAAAACGCACATAAAAGAAAGCTTCAGCAAAGATGTAATTTTGTTCTTAAGTAATTAAAATACTAATTTTTTATTGAGGCCAGCCAAAGGAAAAAAGAGGGCATAAATAAGCAGTATTTTTAAAAGACATCATTATAGATCCTGGAGTCAAAGTATGATAGACAGCTAAGCTGGGTAGAAATATCACAGGGATAAACCCGAGAGGGAGTCGGTGAGGAGTACGAGACCAAATTACAACTGGAGGTGCATCCAGCCAGAGGCACATCTGTGGAAGGCCAAGCCTCAAGATAAAGATGGAATGACCAGGCCCACATACCTCTGTGAGGGATAAGATAAGTAGTAACACCTGGTCCAGTGAAGTCTAGCTAGACATCAGTCAACCAGGTGGGTGAGCAGGACCTCCTGATCCACCCTTTCCTAAAAAGGTCCTGTTCTTTTCAGGTACACTTGCTACACGACCTGCTTCCCCATTGGATTAATATTACCTAAGCAGCTATAATTGTAATCTTATTGGTTAATCATAGTTTTTAACCATGTTGTGCTCACCTCGTGAGTTTGTACTCAGCTTGTGATTTTGTACTTTAAACTGTCCTTTGCGATTCAAAATCACTAGCAACCCACTTTCAGGTTTCCTCCTGGTGCTCAGGAGTGATCTCTCTCGATAAATTTTCCTACTCTTAACCTCCATTGTTCCTTAAAATTCACTCTGATTTGGGGGAATATGGGCTTGATATATCTGACATCTAGCAGGTGGAGAGTTATATTTTTCCCCTATATCAAATGAAGAGGTAAAAGGATATTATGATTAAGTATACATACATGGATAACTTACTATAATTAATACAAGAAAAGAAAACCTGCAAGTATAATAAATTCAAAAAGAAAGACTGTTCCTTCATTAGTGGATTCCACCCACACTCAGGACAAATTTCATGTATTCTTAAAAAAAAAAAAAAAAAAAAAAAAAACAGAAAAAGGACGTTTCCTAATATTATTTATAACAGTGTACAAATCTTAACACCAGATTCAATGAAGACATTACAAGAGAAGAGTCAACTTTGTCCTAAAAATAAATGTGAAAATTCCTAATAAAGTACTAGCAACCAAATCCAGAAAAATACCAGAAGACTAACGCTTTTAAACAATTGGATTCTTTCCAGCAGAGCAGTGTTGTCTGAATATTAGAAAACCACTCTCAATACTACATTAATAGATTATAAGATCAAACTAAATCACACAGTTAAAGAACAAACGAAAATTTTTTGATAAAATATGTGAATTTCAGATATGATTGAACATTTTTAAAATTCAAGGAAGGAAGTTTCTTAAGCTTCTAAATTTATTTAGAGAAAACATTGTGCTTAATGGTAAAATTTTGAAAATGTTCCCTTTGAAAGAATGAGTGAAGAAAGCCATCATTTTGTTTTTAATCCATACTGGA